ACACTTCTGCTTATTTTTTAAATATCAAGATATTTGGGTGTCAGTACATCAAACATTAAGATCACATGCTACTCGAGTGGTTTAATCCTAGAGATTACAGCCAATCCTTGTACAACAATTAAGGTTTATCTAGGTCTAAATAATAATTAATTCAAGATGGAAGATTTGTTTGTATGCCAATTTTTAGCACGACAATCTCTTAGATGAATTAACAGCCACGTGTAAAAAAGGAATCATTACATTATACAATTAAACAGAACTGAACAATGCAACACAACTATCAAATAAATGTCTTTAGGAAACAAAGTGTTGTACAATTGGATAAAAGCAATCAGCAGTTAAAAAATTGAATTTGTCAACAGTGTTGTAACCAGTAATCATAGTGCCTGAAAGCAACAACGGTGGAACAAAAACGAAAAACTATTCGAATATTTGCGTGTATTTTGATAATGTTTCTCAGACACTGAGATTATCTGAGGAATTTATAAGATTTTTCATAGTTGTGAGAAAGGCTTCAAGTTATTAAACCATGAGTTGTACTTTAATATTTAAAATGGGTGGGATAACACAATTCTGGAAATATCGGAATACTGTCTGGTGTATGGAGGCTTTTATATTTCCACATTGTTAACACTTATCTAATTCATTGAATTCTTCAGATTTTATCTTCCTTTGAACTTGATTGATTACTTAGTTGTATGAATGTGTTACTGTTGTTTAGGTACTGTTTAGCTTCTAGAAAATAGATGCATAGCTACATTTTTAAACGAAGCTAATGTAAACCAGTTTATAAAGTTATATTTATCCACAACCTGACAGATAAATACACCCCACAGTAGAACATAAGTTCTTTGGTCTGTTTTCTAATATATGTGTGTGTGTGTTTATCAACAATACACTGGATTATATGTTAAGAAAGGATGACAGGTACGTACGTATACATAATTAAGCAGACGAGAAACAACAGTCTTGCTTTAAATATTTCTGTTATTAGCATTATTTTAAGGCTTGTGTCTACGTCATGTAGCTGCGTTGATGTCATTTACTCTCTAATTCAAAACTCATAACACCTAGCATTTAAACTGCCTGATATTGCTTTTAATCTAAATAAAATTGTTTATTTCTTCCTTGTTTTCAGTAAACTTTGATTAAACAAACTGAAACATTTTATCTAACAATTAATACCTGCTTCAGTTATATATAGAATGCAGCATTAAGTTAAAAAATATCAGAAATAATCTATTAATAATCAGATTCGATATAACACTATTTATCACCAGAAATGTTATTTAATCTTGAATGTCCTAACATCTAAATTAAGTATATTTATTTCAAAGACTTGCTTAAAAAATCCATACATTCATAACCTGATCGGACTTATTGCATTGATTTTCAAAAACTTGCTTAAAAAATCCATACATTCATAACCTGATCGGACGTATTGCATTGATTTTCAAAAACTTGCTTAAAAAATCCATACATTCATAACCTGATCGGACTTATTGCATTAATATGATTTTTTTTTGTTTCCATTCGTTATAGGTGGTGATCTAATATCTTCATATATAAAAAAAAACTATTATAATCTGTGAAATTCATTTTCCGTTCAAAGCCATTTATTAAGTCAAAGAGCAACACGTGCGCATGGGGGCGTGTGTTGGTGGTTTTTGACAGTCAGTTGCACGGAGTTCGTCAAGGTTGTGACTTGGAACATGCCCGTGCAAGAAGTCAGTAACCCAGACAACATACAGTCCATCTAAAGTAAGTGTGGCGGATAATTTTATGGTGAATAGAATCAAGGTAAAAACTGATGAAGTAGAACCGAGGTCCCTTACTTAGCAGATCCAACCTACTGTCTCGCGATATAAATATGTATATAACGCACGAAATGAAACAGTGACAATTGCTGTATGTTCAGAAATGTTTAATAATTTGACGAGAGACATCTAAACGTATGTATGCATCAGTGACTCTTTATTCATCTATTTTATTTAAAGTCATAAAGAATCCAGAAATTTAAATTACCTTTCACGCTTTTTGTGTGTGTGAATTATGTGAAATATAGATAATATCTGTAATGCCCCCCCCCCCACCAGTGGTACAGCGGCATGTCTGCGGGCTTATACTGCTTGAAACCGGGTTTCGATACTCGTGGTGGTAAGAGCACCCTTTGTGTAACTTTGTGTTTAATAATAAAACAACAACAACAACAAATATTATGCACTTTTTTCACGACTCCCATAAATACTTTAAATACTTATTAAGTGTGTGTCTGGACATTTTCCGTTTCTGTAATAGTTTTAGAAACACTTTAGACGCAATGATGCATTTCTGTATTACTGCTTAGAATGCGCAAAAACTAGAAAGTTAAACTGTTGCAGAAAACTTCTTAAAGTCTGAATTGTAAAACAAATATATGTTACTTAAACCCGTCCATCTACGGAAGGATGAAAATATTATATGAATAAATCTCTCAATTCTCATTTCAACTGCACAAATCAGCTAAATAATGATTGAAATTTATAATATTTTAGTTATGACAAAGAAAAAACACTGTTATAAAATTATGTGAATCACTCCCATTACCAGATATGATCTATTACGTTAAATGAAATGCAAATAATCGGCCTATGTCGATAAATGAGCATTTGGTAGACACGACTATATCTTTAAAGTTCGTGTTATTTCATTACAATATGGGGTATGGTCACCATGAACAGCAAAAACAATCTGAAACCAATGTTCTATGCTTATAGTCAACAGTGGAGGTTTTAGTGCTGTTTGAATTGTTTCGTGGTTTGATATCATTTGCGAGCGTCACATAAAGTTACATTTATTAGTTTTGGATCATCTAGTAATTGTTTTGGTAGTAAAAAAATACGTTAATCTTTGAACGTTCGCTTTAAGAAAATATATCCCATTGATCATAGTACACTAGTTTAGTTTATTATAAGTATATTTTAATAAACACTTCCTAATCACAATAATGATATCTAAATGTGATTTTTCAGGTGTCTTCGGATTACGTTGAACTAAATTTTATTCAGTTTAGTTCGTATTTTGCGCAAAGCTACACGAGGTCTATCTGCACTAGTCGTCCCTAATTTAGCAGTGTAAGACCAGAGGGAAGGCAGCTAGTCATCACCACCCACCGCCAACTCTTGGGCTACTCTTTTACCAACGAATAATGGGATTGATGGTCACATTATAACGCCCCCATGACTGAAAGGGCGAGCATGTTTAATGAGACGGGAATTCAAACCCTCGACCCTCATATTGCTAGTCGAGCGCCCTAGCCACCTAGCCAAATTTGATTGAGAAAACCAACTGTTCTCACAGCACGGCTCTTGCAAAAATAAGTTAGCTCCTAAAGTTGACCCAGCGTTTGTTTTATGATCAATCTGTTGTCACTTCTATATGTTATTATATTCCTTCTCCTTGCGCCTATGTTGGCCACCTGTCTGAGTTCCCAAAATTTCGCGATCCTTCAGGCAACGTCTACTTATTTGTGCACGTGCATTTAATACCTTTTAGTATTTTATCACACAATTCCCAGCTTTCAATTTATTACAATATCTTTCACCCAGACACACTAAATATATGCACATGTTTATTATTAATTTATTTTCCATATATTATCTAGTTTAGGAATTTCCTCTAGCTAGTTTGGAAGAGTTACGTTATCTTCGTTGACGCATTTATTTCACATGCATTAACTTTGGTAATAGATGTGCAATTAACTATATCTTTATTATTATAAGTGCTACTTGATTGCCAGAATATAATAATATTTTCTTCATTGCAAACCAATCTGTTCTAAAACTTGAAATTATGGAGCCTTCACGTAAGTTTTCCTGTTTGATGTCAGTAAAATAAAAATGGGTCGTATCAGAAAACAAACAAATAAAGGTAATATAAATATATAAAGAGGTATATCAAAGAAAAAAGGGACTATACGATTAGTTTCAATCAAAGCATTTCATATAGTTATACTGAATTTCTAATTTAGCTTATTGCGTCATGGGCAAATACGTTATACAAACAGATTAAGCTTAAGTTTCAGTCATCGCTCAGGTACAATTGAAATATATATCTGTGTAGACTGTAGAGTCTTAACTAAGACTTGATTGATCAGATATTTCATCTGGTTGGTTGTAACACGTTGATTTTTGTTTTCTATTCTCAGCAGTCTCGTTTAGCAGTTCGTCGCAAGGTTCATCGGGACTTTGTACGAAAAAAAAAAGAAGTATTAGAGAAAATATCATACTTTGTTTTGAATCAATTAACAAAAAAAGTGTTGATAAAACTTGTTGGGTACGTGAACTTATTGACGACCTATTTCTACCTGTAAGAAACAAGCTTAGTTCTAATATTGAAACCTAAATTCAAAGAGGTTAGCCATGTGCCACTAAGTGGTTTTATACCGCCATATTTTATCCAACAAACTGCTGTTTCTAAATAGTTAAAACAAATACTGACAATAGAGATAATACTATAAAAACTCTCGTGAGTGTTAAGCGAAACATAATACTAAAAGTACAATATTGACGCAGAAGGACTAAATGTAAGTATCTACTGGATTAGCCTCCCCCCAGAATTAGGTAAAAAGGTGTGATCGTGGGTCGTTAACCTGAACATATGACTGTTGGAAATAAGGAATTGTGCGAGGCAGTACAAACAGTGTGCGCAAATCTGGTATAATTTTTGTTTGATAATCAGATTTATAAACAAGTTCGTTAACAATTTTATTTCAACAAATGTATGATCAGTACAATGTATAAGTGATCTATTAGAATAAAATAAAGACAACTAGGAAACCGTCAGGTGAGAGATTGGGTTCATCAAGTTCATTATTCAATCTCTACATATACATATAAGTGTTTTTATACCTATATATATAAACAAAACGACACTGATTTTGTTTGAAAATTTTCATTTATTTTTTTCATATTCTATTTTTCCCAAACTTGGTTTAACTGCATTATACTCGTGTTTTACAGTTGGACGACTGTACCCTGCAGATTTACAAATATAACAATACCGAAGGGGATTATGGGAACTACTTAGATTTAGAATCAACGATAGACGAACAGTCCGAAGAATTTGAAGGATTTTCAGATAAGTAAGTAACCATCTGTTTGAAAAGTAACTCCACTTCTTAAAGTTTCAATTTTGTTTTATTTAGAGTAGTTTTGTTAAATTCTCCCCACTTGTGAGAAAACAAAAACAAGGTGTAATAATATATGTTCAGTGATTAGAATTAACGTTCAGTCATACCAACCATTTTATACCATATTTTGTTTATACACGTTTCCTGTTTCCTATTATTTCATTTCTGACAACTAACGTATTTAATTTATTTCTATTGTCCACATAACAGGCACTTGAATAGAAAATAATTTAATTGTATTAAGAAAAAATCTCACATCCGCTTAGCATTTCATTGCTGAAATTTAGTGCAAAGGGAATGAATAGCCATAATGTCACATAATACATTCTTGATAATTTATAACATGTACACATAACAAGACACATGCAACACACGTTCTGAGCACGTTTAAAAATTCAAGGTATTAAAACTTTAAAAAGAAGTCAGACTTTAACATATATGTGTGTGTGTAGGTATTTAATTAAAACCATAGTTTCAAACTAAAGTAAATTATGAACCTCCATAAAGGCTTTTGAAATTAAGAAAAATATATAAAAATTGAATAAAAGAACATAAAGGTGTGTGCCTATCTAAAACCACAACAATTCACCGATCTTTCTGGGCTGGTGAAACTTGATAATGGTCGAAACCACACTTGTCAGCCGGTCATAGTATGGATTTCATTACCGAATATAAACGTCTATGTTTACATTTCACAAAACGTTTTAAAAAAGGTCCTAAGCTATAGTTTATCATGAAAGTTGAATAGTCGTTTGATAAGTGGTGCTGCTTCTATTTCAATGTAAACATAAATTATTCAAGAGATACGTATTTCATGATAATGTCAATCACGCTTCTGTTCTCTTAGAGTATCACGTTTAGTGCACATCTATATTATATATCACTATCAAGCTATTGTTTTGGGTTTGAAGTTCGTTTTCAATTCTGCTTGAAAGACTAATTCTAAATGTAAAACACTTTCATGGTCAGAGTAGGATAGATTTCTAGGCGTGTTTTATGAAAAAAAAATCTGCATAATAAGAGGTTCATTTTAATCACAGATATTGTTTGAAATACGCAACATCATGTATACCTTTCTGTGAATCTCATGGAATGTTTAAGATATATTTCGAGATCTGTGTGACTGTAAACTGTGATTTAAATGTAAGACACATTAAAATGTCGTTCTGATTGTGTCATTTTATGGTAAAGTTACACGATTTTTAATTCGTTGTTAAAAATGGTAAATTCTCAGGTACACCGCGATATAACAAAAAAACGACGCGTTTTCTGTGTATCGTCCGGAAACCTTTCCTTGAGACGAATTCTGAAATCACTTAACACATCAAATTCCTAGCAGTCATATTTGTAATTAGCTTACCAAATTTATTGAATGGAGACTAATCCTCCAAACCTATAACATGACACAGAGTTTACTGAGTACACCGCGATATAACAAAAAAAAACGACGCGTTTTCTGTGTATCGTCGGAAACCTTTCCTTGAGACGAATTCTGAAATCACTTAACACATCAAATTCCTAGCAGTCATATTTGTAATTAGCTTACCAAATTTATAGAATGAAGACTAATCCTCCAAACCTACAACATGACACAGAGTTTACTGAGTTTTGGATATATTACATAAGAGCTATTTATGAGTAACAACAACTCTCGCTTCCAAAATGGTATCAACCCTCATAAATAAATTATTTTAAACAGAAAAACGACTATTGTTCTAACAGCTTCCTTTGTACCAAAGCTTGTGAACATATGTTTGACATTGATTTGATTTGCTGCAGGATGATTCATCTCCTGAGTGTGCACATTATAGATAAAATAGTAACTCAAACCTTGAATCCAAGGTCTCACGTGTTCTTTTTTCTCCTATTTAAGCTATTTTTTACAAGTTATTACTTCCTCAAGGCACAAAATTGACAATATTAAAGTATTTCAAAACTCACTGCTCTGAAAGCCTCAAAACTGCTCGCACTTAGTTAATGCAAGGTTATTTCAGCTTTAATTACGTTATGACTAGAATACGACTTATTTTACTTGACTCTTTGTGTACAATTTATTAGACGTTACTGACAGCACTGTGTCGAACGTAACAAGATTTGACAATTTTATAGAACGCAAACACAACTTTGTCCTTGAATAACCAAGACGCCTTGCATATCTTTCTTCTGGTGTAGCACTCGCTGTTCAAACACACAGCTGACATCCTCATGCTATAACTCTTCCTATACATTATAACTGTGACAAACACCTGGACCTAGCGATGCTATGTAAATATTACTAAATACTAAGTCTACAGTTCAGCTATATACTTTGTTGTAAAATTGTAAAAAGTATTCCAGAACAAGCACGCACAGTCAAGATAGGTTTATTACTTAAGGTAGAATAGCCCCACAGTGGCACAGTGGTATTTCTGCGGACTTACAACGCAGGAATCCGGGTTTCGATACCCGTGGTGGGCAGAGCACAGATAGCCCATTGTGTAGCTTTGTGCTTAATTACAAACAAACAAACAACAAGCTAGAATAAGAAAGTAAAAACTTTAAGATATTTATATTTGACGAATTTATTTTTCCAAGATAGCTAAGTGAAACCTGTCATGTGTTCTGTCAAACATTTATTTTATAAGTGAATATTTTTTATTTGTAATTACAAATGCATTTCCAAATGTATTCACTGTTCTGAATACAAGCGTTAAATGAACTACTTGAGGAATTCATTTGGTTTGTTTCGTGCAAAGTTGCACAAGGGCTATTTGCGCCAGCCGTTCGTAATTTTGAGATGATATACCAGAAAAATACACCCTTAACTTCTACCGACATTCTTGGGTTACGCCAGTCGAATAGTGGAATTTAACCGTCACTCTTATAATGCGCCCTCAACTTCAAAGTGGGGAACGCGTTTCTTTATTGATGTTTTTTTGCGGCAACGGAACGCGAACCATAGACCCTTGGATCCGTACACGCTAACCAGTAGGCCACACCACGCACTCATTTTGACGAGTTTTATTCCTGGAGGTGGCTATTCATAAACTTGTTTTAGTCAAATCTAATGGTATTCAGAACAAAATTTTACTCAATAATACGTTATTAAGTAATAACTATAGCTAGCTAATTTGCTGGTTATGATACCGATTGATGAAATATTATTTCTTGTTATTACTGTTGCATAAGTCAGATTACTTCCCAACTCAACATTAGTAAGCATTTTATACAAGTGAACAATGACATCAGTTGTGGAGAACAGGAGGGGCAATTTCCTTCACCAAGATAATTAGAAGAACCTGACAATAAAATGCCAGTTTCACATCGTTTTCTCTGTGTACTGTAAAGATACAGTTCGATGCAATGAAATATAATACTGTTTCACTTTAGTAAATCAAATCCAAGACCGTTGAAGAACCGCTAACCCCCCCTTCCAAAAAAATCTCAAATGGCGTTTGTGTAAGTGAAAGTTATTCCGGTCCATCTTTGTATTAATATTTCATTTTCTCTGCCTCTATTTTTAATATTTTTAATGTGTGTATTCTACGGTGTATGATGCAAACGTTTTGTTTTTCACAGAACAGTGATTATTTTTCTTACTTGAAGAGTACTTATTACTAACCAACATTATTCTTTTTCTTGATCTACAAACTGATAAATAACGTCCTTCAGCGACACATTTTATGAATATTTTTATTCTAACGAAACTTAAAAAGTGTTATTGTTTTATTAAAATTTTGGGGATCCTAGACATTGCACGGCTGGGATTTTTGTTTGCTGCTCCTCCCTTTAGTTTGTGAAGTGGATGACCGTAACGAATCCTCAGCATGGACTCAAAAAAGTCAACCTCTTTGGACATTGAAGCAGCTGCAGTGCAGCCATAAGAAATCTACAAAACTTTCAATGAATAGAGTTTAATAAAAATTATTGCTATATTTTTTCCAACCACAGAAACTGTTTGGTTAACTATTTTGTTGCTGAAACATTTTTGTTAATTCAGTTTATTTGTATATTACAGAAAATCTATAAATTTTATATAAAATATCGTCAAAGATAATAGTTTCATATAAAAATCAGTAATCTCTAGATACAGAAAAGATCAGTGAGAATCAAGTGTGCAGCCTGATCTTCAGACTGTTTGTATCCTGTACAGCTTGCTACATAGCGTAGAGCAGATTTTGAACAGACATCATGAAAATATAGTCTTACATCATTCCTCTAATCAGTGAGAATCAAGTGTGCAGCCTAATCTTCAGACTGTTTGTACCCTGTACAGCTTGCTACATAGCGTAGAGCAGACTTTGAACAGACATCATGAAAATATAGTCTTCTATCATTCCTCTAATGGGTGATCTTCACGTAATTTGATAGAGCACAACGCCTGTTTTAAATAATAAAATGTATTGGGCGAGACTAAAGAATGTCTATAGAAATTGAATTAATTGTAACTCTTGCAATAGAAAATATTACAGAAAATATTACAGTTAACAGTACAAATTTTCAGTTAACTGTTTCATGCTTTTTATACTGATTTATACAATGCACAAAAAAATCTAATTTGTTTCTCTTCCCAGTTTATTTGCTTTATAGCAAATGCACATGGGGCTATCTGCTGTGCCCACAGCGGGAAATCGAACCTTGTATTTTAGTATTGTAGGTCGTAGACTTACCGCTGACCCACCGGGGGAATCTCCTTCTAGAAGTAACACAGTAATAAATAATTTAGCAATACCTCGGTAGGTAGAGGTCGAAAAACATTACTAAACAATACAAAGTTATAACACATTAATATTCCGTTAAATTTGAAAATTCATTTACGTTATACAGTTATTATTAACTTCTGATAAAAGCAACCCATCTACATAGATCAAAACTAAAAATTAATCTAATAATTAATATGCAGGGTGTCTGAAAAGTCTAGAACCATAGGTACGTCAACGAATTTTATAGAATGTGTTCTACATGCTGTCCTT